GAAATTGGTTATTTTGGAAATATGATCTTGAATTTGGGTCATTTCCATGTATTTCCCAGGAGAAAGGGAAGCTCAAAAGGTTTTGGGAGCTGCTCTCGAGTCTCGTCATTTCAACTTGATTCGATTTGACGGTAGCATTGCCGGATTAGGAAGGAAAATTGAGGGTTTTGGGTAGCGATGGCAAAAAAATCGACAAATTCGATACTCGCGGGCCTCGCCCAGAATTAGGCGGGGATAACCCGCTTAATTGGGTATTTGAGGCGGGGACGGGTAACGAGCTCCCTGCCCCGCCACGTTAATTTTTTTTTTTGAATTCAATACTTTAGATGAAAAATTTCACGAAATTTCATTNCCTGTCCCACCCTGTTAATTTTTTTTTTTAGAATTCAATACTTTAAATGAAAATTTTCATTAGTTCTAATAGAAAATAGCAACTAAAATTATTTGTCTAAATCTAATGAATATGGACAATAAAAATAAATTATCAAAAATTAAAAAAAAAAATTTAACGGGGCAAGAACCCCGTTCCGCCTCGCCTCAAACGGGGCGGGGATGGAGCGGGAAATTTCTTAGCGGGCCATTACCATCCCTAGTTTTGGGAATGAAATGAAAATGGGCAACACAAACGGTAAAATCTCAAACGACGTCGTAAATGGTTAATGATTGGAAATTATGACATGTGTCCAAGATGAACACTATAGAGAGTTAGAGTGTGTTTGATGCACATTTTTTAGGAGAGAGTGCATTTTTTTTTTATGTGATGAATAATATGTGGTTAAAAAATAAGGAAAATTTATTAATGTGATAAAAAATATTATTTTATTGAAAAATGTGTGATTGAAAATAAATAAAAGAATGTAAATGAAAATGAGAATGTGGCTCAAACAGGGGCCTAGCCTATTTCATTTGTGTATGTATGCATGCATTTTGATGGAATCAGGATAGAAGATGTAATGAGAACTGGCACTTGTCGATTGGCTTTGTTTAGATACAACAAATGAGAATTGACAATATATATAAAAAAAAA